GGGGGGGGGGGGGGGGGCAAGTAGAGAATGTCAGTTACATTTTGTCGCATCAAGCGCTACAACAACATCGACATCGGAAACATAAATGATGGCAAGCGCGCTCCGGGAGCAAATTCCTCTTGGGGCGCAATAATCATAAAACCTAAATACTTCAGAGGACAGCGAGGGCAAACCGTGACTGGTGTAACTGTTGTGGCTGCTGCCCAGCAAGCAACTGCTGAAACGTCTTGCAGGGACACCAAGCAAGTCTGACCATGGGAGGGCAACCATCAAAACACTATGGAACACCAACTCAAATCAATCTAAAGGGTACGAGGCCAACCATTCATCCCACCATGGTACTCTCTACGGAAAGATGTGCCACGAAGTCACATTGTCGGCGTCGATCTTGATGTACTATAAACTTATTGTACGCATTCCCAATGGAGAGTGTGTGGCATCTAACCACAGAGACATGGCTTGTTGCCTCGAAGATTCAAATTAGAGAAGAGACAGTCGGATAGAGGCCAGAAAGAGTTTCAATACAAATGGCATGACATTGTGCAACACCCGTAAATATAACAACGAATCACCTACCTCATTTTCGTCGCCCTCGGCCCCATCCCCGTCCTCGTCTTCCTCCTCGGCTACCGCATCCTCGTCGAAACCCCAGCTGATGCCGTACTCCCCGCTGTCACCCCCTCCTTTCCCTCCCCCCTCTCCCGCCGCGCCTGCCTTGATTTTGGCCAATTTTGCGGCGAGCTGTTTCCGCCCGGCGTCGAGGCGCAAGTTACGCTGTCGCCAACGTGAAAGCGGTTGGAGTGGGAAGATGGCGGGCATCGATGTTGGAGGATAGAACAAAGTGAACGGGTGTAGATAGAGCGACGCGTGTGTATTGTGGTGTCGCCATTGCCGCACAACAGCAACTTATGACATGGTCCTTCTCTTTGCCTCCCGCCCTCTGTCTCGGCCGGGTAGGCGCTACAACAACATCCTTGCTCTGCTATCCTGCATGTAGTCTGAGATCCAGAGCAGACGAGGGACACAACGAACACACCCCAAATGTGTCTACGACAAACCACTTACGAGATTGTCGCTCTCGTATTCCGCAGGCCTTAGCTCCTCCGGACCCTCCAAGGCGTACAGTCGCGTTGACTCTCCGAACTTGATCACGTCACCCACATGGAGACGGTGAAACTCCTAATATTTGAGTAGGTGTTACGTTTCAGTGTGGTTTCGTAGACCGCGTCGCGTCCGTCGCAACGTGAGTCCAAGACATTCAAAACTAGAATAGCGTGGAAAGGGCGAGTTTTTCACCCTGCTTTCAACACAACATCTTGTACTACGACAACAAGATAAAACGGCCTCACACGCACGGCAAAGCGAGACAGGGGAATTGGTGCTTGGCAAAACGGTGGGTGCAGGTATCCGACAGCTTGCACACATGTTTCTTAGGAAACGCACACTGCAACAACGTGGGTGGCTTCTGCTCCCTCTCTTGGTGTTATACTTGCAAGCGTTCCAACCTATTGCTGCACCTCTTCTTCACGGCAAGTAAAGTTCGGTCCGCCTCACCTTGGGTGGGATTTTTTTCTTGTTGACGCTGCACCCGTGCGTGCTGCCGTTGTCGAACAGGAATAGAGCACCTACCGGAGGGGAAAGAAAGCAAAGGGCCAAAACCAACCGTGGAAAAAGACAGACCAGGAAAAACTCATGTGAGAGCACAGCAGTAGACAGGGAAGCAGCAGAGCGATCGCCGGTGACAAGTCAGAAGCTAGAGCTACATATTCAGACACACAACAGCAACAACACGTGTGCAGGGAAGAGAAGCTTGCAGGAGGGAAGACCATGTGCAGCATGAAACGTCACTGCGAGGGCTGCGTGCACCCGATGATCACCAACCCCACAGAAACCAAATGGTCTCCAGGTCTCAACCAAATTACCACCCTCCATGTACAGCACAGCTACGCACACAACCACAACCCTCTCCCGCACCTAAAATAGCTGTCTCCCTGCCATGGCCACAACGACCTCTGGCTTTTGTACTTAAACTTGCAACATAGCACACATCACGGGTAGATTCGTTGCCTGAATACTCAAACGTCCAGCGCGAAAACAAGCAAGATCAGACGCGGGGCGATCAAACGGTCCATTTGCGAAATCCCTCACCATTCTGCCCATGTTGAAGAATGGCATGCTTCCTGGAGATGGACGGGTGTTCCAGCAACACGTCCACGACACCCTGCTGCCTGCCTGCAGAGACCGACAGTTACGGAAGGAATTTGGCCGATGCAAGATACAAGATGCAAGTTTAACTTTTTGTTGCACAACAAGTGCTTGTGAAGAAAACATGCGAGACGGCAGCAAGCGCATGGTGTCCCAGGGCTTCTGAACGTGAACCGGGAGTGTGCCAATCGTTGGCCCAAACGCCAACTATTTCAAGCGCCAAGCCGTACACACATACTGGAGATTAGGTTTCAAATGGTGTAGAGTGCGGCTGTGATTCGTGCTCTGAGATGTCAACAACCGACGTCAACCGCACAAACGTCGAGCTCGTTCTTGGGGTTGGGAATAGAAACGCGTCGAAGACGCACGCCAGGAGGTACGTGCAAACTGGATGGGATATGTAAGTGGTACGAAGAGGGGGGTGCCCCGCAGCTTCGCCATTGTTCCGGCGAGGGTTCGTTACACTTTGATGTTAAATCTTGAGGTCAAAATGAGTTGCCAACGTGTAGGCACTAACTACTGGTTCCGGCAGCGAGTGTGTCGTAAGATACCACACCCCCGTGCCGATTTCCGAAGCCCGTTCACTCCACAACGAAGAGGATGCCACCGGCAAACGATACGTTTCGGGAAGCTTTAAACGAGACGGTTCCAACGCCGCCAGTTTCAGCGGCGCCTTCACCTATTACAGTAGTGCTGCTGCAGGTACGCGAGCTTTGGAAATCGGCAGGGGGTGCGGTACCCCCTGCAACCTTTGGCATCCGGTACAAACCCTGGAAAAGGGGACACACACCATACACTCAGTTAGCATAACATGATTAAGCAACGTGCAGCAAGTCCAACTCACCAAGCAAAACATGTGTGCGGTTGTCCAGAGAGATGCTGCCGACCTCGACCCCGCCCTTGAGCACGGTCAAGGACAGCCCCGACGCACCCGGTGCTTCCGTCAAACCCCAGCTTGGAGGTTTGTAGCCGCCCGACGCTGCCGCTTTCAGGCCGCCGCCATTCAGACCACCTGCGGTCTTTGGCGGAGGTGGTGGAAGGGATGCACTGCCATCCTTAGCCGAATCCAGCGCGGATTGCTGCACCTTATCGAGTGGGGGCGAGACAGCCGCAGTTGATCCTGCTGTTGCTGCGGAGGAGTTGCCATCGTCGCCAGTTTCTCCTGCCCGCGTTCCGGCAACAGTTATCGGTGCCGGTACGGGCGGGGGAGGTTCCATGTTCTCGTGATCTTGGAGCAGCTATCCCTCTCTCTCTCTCTCTCTCTCTCTCTCTCTCTCTTCTCTCTCTCTCTCTCTCT